CATGTCCCAACACAATGCAAATAATACATTTCTTTCATCCATTCATTATACTCACATTATTCAGTTTATGGTGGAACACTTACATGCTATTTAATCCAAATATCATAATTACAGTCCCAAAAATATAATTACAATAACAAGAGTCCATAAGTCTCAGTACGGAATACAATATGCTAAGTTTTACAAAAATAATGAGACCCAGATACAAAAACAACAAAATGATCATCTAATCCATGCTAAGCCTGTGGTGGAACGACATCCGCCACTTCATTCCCATTTCCTGAAAAATGTTAAAATGAAGGGGTGAGCATAAGCTCAGTAGGAAGTGCCTAAGGCACACCTCTTGAAACCCCGTGAATCCACACCATGAATAGGAATAAAGAAATTTGGATCATACCATGTCGGGGAAAAAAAATAAAACCACCATGCCACATCATTAATCCAATACCACAAATGAATATGCCATGCAATGATATGCCATGCCATGCAATGTCACTCCCCATTTTCCAAAACCATTTCCATCATCATTTTCAAACCGTTAGTGAACCCGTCCCATGGCAATTCCATGGCGGCACGAGAGGAGGATTGGCCACTATCCCCGACCCATGGCAACTCCATGGCGTCATTTGGGGCCCAAGTAACTCAACCACACTAGGACGATCTCCCTAGTCCTCTATAGGTCTCACTAACACCGCGGTCCCTAAGCAACTCCTAGGTGGCCAGGTTTTTCACAAAATCCTTTTCAAAATTATTTCCCAAAAATCCATATTATTTCTTTCAAATCAATATTTCCAATTCTTTCCCAATGATATGCATGAATGTCTCATGCTTCTCAATGCCATGTCAAATGAAGGATTTTTACAATTCACAAATCAACATAAGATTTTCAAATTTCACAAATCAACATACTTCCATATAGCAAATTGTAACAAATTAATCATAATAGGCATGAAAATTTAATACTTAGGCATGCTTTACAACATAAAAATTTCTAAAACTATATTTCATGCTTTCTAATCACCAAACTAGCACTAAAGGCACAAAAAGCTTGAATTAATCAACAATTTACATGCTTCATTATCATATATATCAAACAACACAGTCACAACTTTGGCACAATATATATATATATATATATATATATATAATAAAGTTAGAAATTTTCTACAAATCAAGCATGCTAATCATTAATTAAGTAGAGTAATTCACAAAAAGGCCCAAGAACATGTGAATTAGAACCCCTACCTCCAAAATTATGAAAATCCCCAAATTTTGTGCCCTAATTTCGAAATCCCTAGAGTGCACCAAAACTGAAATTGCTTACACCTACTTGAAGATCTCGCCGTACTCTTCGTTTTGCCGCAAACGGCATTCAAAAATTCCCAATGAAAATAGCTAGATTGAGGCCTATATGGTTGAAGGAAGAAAAGAGAGAGAAATGACAGAGAGAGAGATTGTCCGCAGAGAAGAAAGAAAAGGCAGAATGGGTCTGTAATGACCCATTTGTCATTGTAATGGCTTAATATAGGAGTGGGTCCCACGGCTTATTAAAAAAAATTACTTTTAACATTATTTCTTATCTATATATATAATAACTAATTGAAACATTACACCGGCGGTTCTCCAGCCGCCGGAAAATCGCCAAAAATTCCAGAAAAATAATTAAAAAATTCCAGAAAAATTCTGAAAAATTCTGAAAAAATTCTAGAAAAGTCCTAAAGACTAATTGAACCCTATTGGACCTTCTTGAAACTTCATGGCATCCTTTGATAAAAATTATATGGCTTTAAAAAATAGTTACACTTCAAATACAATGAAAAAAATTAAATTACATTATTGAACTTTCATATGGCTAAATCAAAGTCTTAATTACATTCATCCAAAGATAAAATTACATTCAATTAACCTATAAGCTTAATCCATGGGCCAAACATACATTATCATTCATTTACAATTATATATACATTATCATCATGTACCACAATATATCAACATATTAAAGTATACATCAACATACATCAATAAATACATATATATGCATATATAATTTGGATCCATGAATGATGATTTTGATAAAAACATAATCTCTAGTAATGAATCAAACCATGCTTTAATACCACTGTTGAGAAACGTGCAAGTTTTAAAAACTTTTTGAAAGATTTTCATACATAGATATTGATTCATCACATAGAGACAAGTTTTATGCAAAAATAAAATATGATGTATCATTCAATTAAAAGATTGAATACTTACATCAAAGGTTTGAGTGAATGTTCTTACTTATTATAGATCCTTTTGTTAGATGCCTCCTTCTTGTATCTCCATATTCTTGGTAATGATTTTGCCTTTAGGAATCACCCATAAGTCTCCATGAATGACCTTGGAGAGCTAAGCTTGTGGGAGCCTCCATTAGATGAGAACACGAACCTTAGAATTCTGGAGAGAGAAAATATATTCCTTTTTCTTTCAAAAGTCTCCCATAAAATATACATGGACCATGTATATATAGGCAACATAAAGATAAGAAAAGAAAACAATAAATCCTTCTAAATCTCTAATTCACATATCTCAAATCTAATATGATTCCAATATTAAGTTGGGCTATGAGTGAGAATCCTTTAGGCTTACTATTTTCTTGGCTACAATGAATTAATAATTGACATGATCTATGAACCCAATTCAATTAATTCATAAATTAATTTCTACTCCACTAAAAGAAATTAATTGAACTCCAGTTAAATAATAAATAATCTCTAAGTCAATGTTGCACTTTGACCCCTCTACGCATAATTAGTTATCGGATAAATAAAGCCATCAATTCGACTACTTAATTAATATATTTATTTTGGTACTTTTGATTATTTCCGCCTTGATCACAATAAAACATTTGTTTGACAAAAATAATAATTTAAATAAATAAATATATAATAAATCATTTTGTCTAAAAACACACAAAGGCCTTCGAATTTACTTTGTGATCAACCATAATCAATACAAAATAAATACAAGTAGCAATGATGCAAATATTGAAAATATAACCCTCTAAGTATTAATTACATAATTACCCAAATTGCTGGTCTAAGGATTCCGAAGATTCTGTCAAACAAATCAAAGTAATTACTAATAATAAAAGAGTCTATACTTCTCTCATGCTTAAGAGTCAAATGCCATAACGATGATAGGGAACAATTGCATACGACGGCTCTAGCAATATATCTTAATCTAACGCGGATCCAGTTCAAGTCTTAGTTAATAATGAATCCATCCATAATTACTAACTATGAATAATTTATGATTACTATTATATTCCTGTATTGATCGTCATCCACATATATATATAAATATCTCTTGTAATCAAATGGACACTATCAATTACATAATGAATCAAAACATAATACATTGAATTCACCAATTATATAAATCATAAATATTTCAGATATGTCAGGAACATATGTCACTATAATTCAAATAGGAATTTGCTATACCAGGGCATATAAATCCCAACAAATAGATCAGTCATTCATTTCATGGAACTTAGGAAGTTTTAACTGTATTTTCTGGACCACATGTGTAACTCTTTGGACCTCTTGAGTAGTCTCTAGTTTTTTTTTTTCTTAATTGGTACTCGCACGCACATGCCTCCACCAAGGGTCGAACCCCTGACCTCCCTTTTGGAAGTAGGAGCCTAGTACCGCTAAGCCACTGGCCTGTTGATTGAGTAGTCTCTAGTTATTCTCCTCCTTCGGTTCTCTTCAAATTCTTTTTCTTTTATTATTATTTTTTCTCTCTTATTCGAATATTTTATATATTTTATAAAGCTTGTATTTTTGCCTCATAAGTTGCAGATAAGAATTGCAAGGCCTATTCTATATTCAGGGTTCAGAAATTGCCTTCACTAGCTATATAATGTGTTTGTTTGGATGGAGAATGGAGAGAAATTGATTGGGGAAAAGGGGGAGGAAGAAGGACCCCACCACTGTTCGGTTGAGAGAGAGGGAAGAGAAGAATACCTTCCCCCCCCCCCCCCCCCCCCCTTCCCCGGCGCCAATTTTCACTAGTATATTTGTCAATTCACTTAATACCCTTTTCTTTGTTCCCGTTTTCCTACCTACTCAACCAAACAACACCAAAAAATGTCGTTTTCTTTCTTAGATTTTGCCCCTTCCATTGTCATACCTGATAATTTCCATCAAATTCGGACAATACCTAGTGGCCTAGTTGATAGAATGCCCAACTCCCCGAGCGGATTTATCCGTGGCCAACTCCTCCTAGTTTTCTAGGGGAAAATGGGACTACATATAAAGTCTTCAATATGTTTCACCAAAGACTTATCTCTTGCAGTATTTACAAGCAAATCACACAAGATACCCTCCATAGTAAAACAGCCATAACACTGAAAAAGTTACACTATATGGCTTTAATACCCAGGATTCCAATGGATCTTTGTAGAAACTAGCAGTTTCAGATTTATTGAAATAATAAAAGATTGAATCAGAAGCCAATAATCAGTAATTCATTTTTGTAGAAACAAACATAGTCTTCAGCTAAGTCACACAGAGCAAGAACAGAAGTGAATTCGAGAGCAGGAACGCAAAAGCGGTAAAATCTAAATCACACAGAGTGAAAATGAGAGCGTAAGAGTAGTGGCAACCATTGAGAAGAATTATGTGTTAGGTCATCAGCAACACGTTTCAAACCTATTTAAGCAAAATAACTCAGAAGGTAGAAACTTGTACCAAGAGTTTCTAGTTTTGATTCATTAGTGTGCAACAGGTAGCTGAATGCAGAAAGTAATTTCACAGAAAGAAAACAAACCTTTCATATTCTGATCACAAGAACCAATATACATCTTCCACCATATTGTCCAGAAGAGATTTTATTATGAACATTGACAATATCTGTTCTGTTCTCTTTTCACCATTTCTTATTTTCTTCTTCTATTTACATTTTTCTCCCCCCAATCTTCAGTAACATATAAAAACTACTTCATACAGTACATATTTACATATCACAAACACTCAATATTTACATTTCACAAACACTCAATATACAATACTAGTTGCATTTAGAAACTTTAAATATATTCCTTAAAATTGCCTTACAGTAAACAGAAATTTATTTTAATTGCATACTTCCTTTTGATGAAATAGCCATCTTTATTTCCAATTACTCAACTGTGGGAGGCTGCTTGAAATTTTTCACCAGCTTATGCCTACGTATATATATTTATACTCGACGTTAACAAGCACATGTGGATGCTGAAGCACAATTCCAGGTTGTGACTATGCCCTAAGGACTGTGAGCATGGTTCCAGGCTAGTAGATTTTTTTTCCGGTAAGGACGAATCCAGGCTATGATTAATTGATTATGCACATGTGGCTGCTGAAGCATGATTCCAGGCCTTTGAATTGAATGACTAGGCAGGCTCACGAGGATTAGCCCAAAGCGAACTCAAAGCCCTGAGGCGCTGGAAGTACTCCCCCAATGCAATCAGGGCACGAGCTGCTTGGTCGGTAGTTAGGATGCGAGACATCTGTTGCAGGGTTTCCTGACGGAGATGATCTGCCTGTTTGGACAAAAGCACAGAGTCCCATGGACATGTAGTTAATATGTTAGGAATGTTACAACCTACAATTAAATCCATTCTATACCTGTACCATAACCTACTATGGGTTTTTCTTTAATATTGCCACTAAGGTCATCATGATTCTATACTATATGTTATACAAAATAAAATTCAAGTATTTAGACTTTATCGTGGTGAAAATTGTCAGTGTATTATGCATGGTATTATTCATACATATGGTATTGCTATCAGATTCGATATGATCTATGTATGTATCACTTAAATCAGATAAACGTAAATTAGAAAGAAAAAATTTGTTAGGACCTCCAATTGTTCAACTTGTTTCAACTTGACAATACAAAAAACATGATAAAAATCACAATAGGCAAAAAATAATGGTACATCAAATCAGTCAGGATCCTATCCATTAATTTCTCTCTCTTTTACTCTCTGATTAACTTTTATTTTCTCAAAATAAGACCGTTGTATAATGAAGATCAACTAATGTGGAGTTTTCTGAATCACTGTACCATGCATCACAGAATAAAGGGATAACGTAATCGAGAGGATCCTAATCCAAATCTAAAATGTAGCTAGGGGAGGATACATAGAAAGCTTTTACAATCACATTACTAAAATTGGTGTTCTTCCCCGTTGGGATTTTGCATCTAATAGTTGGCGTTCATGTGTGTCAATGAGTTGTGCTTTATATTCCTACACTTAACTACTTTTACATGCTTATTGACTTATATTTAAATTTTTGTTAATTTTGATAAATGAAAATTTTAAAATTCGGTTAAAGTTCGTTATTTAATTTTGAAGACTTATTCACCCCGAATCCTCTTGGGGGCAAACAATTCCTTGGGAGGGGGGGTTGTGTGTGTAAACAACTAGGAAAAATGACTTATTCACCCCTACTCTAGGTCTAGTTTGGGCTTTTGCCTACTCAACTATTAGAGCCTCGGGTATGATCCAATTTCCTCCCTTACAAGATTTTAAAAATTAAAAAATAAAAAGAATAAAAATAAAAAATCTATTTTGAACATGTTTCCGATACTTTTCAAAATACTCCAACCACGAATCTAAAATTCTTAATATACTTCTAGGCACATGTTTGTCAAACATATTATTAAAATATAATTATAGTATAATATCATAATTGTGAGGATGGGCATAGTAAGGTTCCAAATACTAAGAAATACTCCAACAAAGAAGAATTGATATATAATTAGAATGTACAATGTCTAATTCAGTTTGAAGTTTATGTCCATGCAGTATAACCCTCAGCTTGTTTGTCATAAATGCGTAAAATTGAATGTTAGTAATAACAGATAAATGTAACACAGCAAACAATTAGTAGGTTAACTTTATACATGGATACATAAATTTTTTCATTTTCAAATATCTATAATAATACAATATCTATAGCTATATATTGTTGTGTCATTATATCCGGATCCTATTTTTAAATAATTTATCATATCATTGTGTCCATATCATATATTTGTGTCCATGCTTCATAGGGACTCAACTACTGTTTTTGGATTTGAATCCATTTGAAAACATTTAGTCAAGACATATTAGATTAATAATCTTTCAAAATCAAAAAGACTTTAATATGTCTATAGTTACTCCCACACATACAGTGCCTAACCAATGTTTCTCCGCGCTTTCATATCAATTTCACAACCACACATCCTATCTTCGACTTACCTTTTGCAAATGAAAATTACAACTTAGTAGAAAATATTTCATATTAGATTACACAAGCATTCAGGGAAAAATAGGAAATAAATTGGCAAAAAGCTACTTTATGGACAAACATATTAAGTCTAAAATAGAATCTAGAAACAAATTAAGACAGCCCATCAACAAAGGACATGGATTGGAAACCCTAAGTGACTAGTGAGAAAAAAGTGATACATTACCTCATTCACAAATCTCACCAGAGCTTCCAACCTCTCCAATGCCGTACCCTCTCCCAGTTGACCTGCAGCTACACTCTCAGCCAGATTTTGCTTGAGTTTCTCCATTCCTTGTGAGAAAGCATCTTCTGCTTGCTGACATGATTGTCTAAGTTTGCAAATATCCAAATGTTGTTGGTCTGTCAACGGGGCAAGCTGTGGCTCAAGAACCTGTAACGAACATAAATTATTAAAAAGCATTATCCCATTTTCAAGCACATATGACGAGTGACATTGCTGATGTCTAGCACTAGATAGGATTCAGACACATCCAAGTTATCTGGTCCAAATGGTTGTTGCACATCAATAATAGAGTACCCTGAATCTTTCAAACACGTCCCCAATATGAACAGTTCTACATCATATGATCACCTACTAAAACAATTTTTCACAAAACTGTTGATAGCGCCCCCTAAAGAGTACTCAATTTTACTCCAAGACTAAAGTTATGAAATGACACCATGGAGTAAACAAATAATCAATGATCAAAAAAGCTTCAACATGAGCTATGAATGGTCTGGAAGCACTTCCATGTGCAGTCATTCTAATAGACAGCCTGGTCATTTATCCTATAATCGCATTTTCATAACATGACACATTTGCACATACCAATATCTGAAAATCAACTGAATACAATCACTTAATTAGAGCATAGAAGTGTGCACAGTTCTTCTCTCGCCATCAATGGTTCATTTTGTGATGATGCTATTGTTCTCTGCACAATGTTCTAATATGTAATATTCAGACACTATAAGCAGTCTTTTAATAACTTGAATGCTATAGCTAGTGGACACAAACAAACATCACAATCTATAACTTACATAAGTTGCTGGGAACCAATACATCGGTAATCTAAACATGGCTCTTTGTATAATATAATGACGGTGACAATAATAAAGATGGCCTTTTGCAGATTTGAGAAGCAAATATGAGCAAACATTTTAAGATTTTTCTATACTTTTTTATCCATAAATGTCATAAAGTATTCATAAATGTCATGCAGTTAGTGCAGAGAGCAACTCACTTAATATAACAAAAGCAATTAGAGAATATATAGTTACCAACCTAACACGATTGGGTAGTATTAAAGTGTTTTCCTAAGGATACATGCTATGTTTTTTGACATGAACAAAATGATTAATGCATTGAAAAAGGGTACATATCGACGAATGAAAAGGCCGAATAAAAATAGAATAACAAATAAAATTATTTAAATATATATTTAAAATAAATAAATAAAGAAAGAAAGAAAAAAAGAGAGAGAGAGAAAGAAACAGAGAACCTGTTGAAAAACATGTAAAAGTAATTTTTAACATTTACATGGCAGGGAGGAATTCTGAAAGCATGCTAAATATTGACCAAGCTTTTGTTATTTGCAGTATAGAACAAACAAAAAGACAGATAAAAAGAATATTGAACAAACACGGGAGCATGTCATGACCAGTAAGCACCAGAAACTGTGAATGGTTCAGATCAGAATCCAGATTATCCAATGGCTAAAATTACTCCTTGGTTTGTGAGATCATATTGTAATGAGAAACGGAAAACTGATCCAACATATATTAAATAAAACACACACATACATATATATGTATGAGTGTAAACACAAGTTCTATTTGCTAGTATCCATCCAAACATGGTTGAGAAGGAGAGAGATATCATTTCAGTACTTAGAGTCAACTTGGATTCCAAAAAAATCTGCAAATCCTTTATCAGAACAAGAAGAAAATGCACTAAGTTCAACCTATAGACTGACCTAAAAACTGGAATATGCATAATCATCAATGGGCGCTACTTGAATTGAATCATGCATTACCCTTAGAAGCTCTGAAGGGCGAAAACCTCCAATCCACAGGAAAAAGCGTTCAGCTGATGTTTTACACATGCCAAACATCATATAAAAGACATCAGCCTTTGCAGCAGTTGCTCTCATCCGGAAGAGAGTAAAATAGTGGTTCAACGCACAATCAACAAGCATGCGAAGGTCTTTATCAGTTACAGGAGGATACAAAGCATTCCTCAACTCACAAATTTGTCTATTTTGTTCTTCAACCCAGTGTCCATACTCCACCTCAAATACAGCAATACCTGCAGGATCCTTGAAAGCGGCTAGTTGCAGGATATAAGAACTTGAAAAAACAAATAACAGAAACTACATTTAAGCAAAACAAATTAAGGAAAATGAAAAGAAAAGTAATATAGAGTACATCAGTGAATTTATTTCAAAGCTTATGGAAGCTTAATGTGGTATTACGATTGCACATCAAACCTACAGGAAAGCCACAATCTCATATGTGGTGAAGATATTTATTGATGTGCGTACTAACTACTAAGGTGGTTGAGAGCAATTACAACTGTTTTTAACAAGTAAATTTCTTCAATGAACTGGGTATTATCAAAAAAAGGAGTTGGAATCTGATCAAAGAGAATCATATAGAGATGTATGACTTTTACAAATTAAAGTTCTCTTTTATATTTTATCAACAAGAAAACTTTAAAGAAACTAGCCTAATACATATATTCAGAAACATATGAAAAATAGGATAGATTGTCATGTTCAGAAGTGAATTCTCATCAAGGCCACATCATATATGCAAAGTTTCTTTTTTTTTTACTAGCTAGTTGTCTTCTTGTAACGCTTTTTTGCTCTCTAAAAAGATTTAAAATCTACTTAAAAGGAGAAAAAGGTCAAATCTTCCTATTTTTAGACAAATAGAGTACAATGACCAAATATCATTGGTGTAGTCGACTTAAAAGAGTTAAGTAATGATGATGGTGCAGGCATATCAAACTACAAACCTGAGTTTCCTGAGTTTACTGTTCTTGAGTACCCTACATGACTTGCATCTAACCCGCCGCCTATATACGAACCCTGCAGTAAAGCATTTGCTGCTTGATTGGATTTTCTCCTCAAAATGTTTATTATACTGTTTGATTAGCAGAGCATTCAAAAAGTTCATATAAAAGCTAATCTTCCCCTTACCTGTTGTCTAGCTCGTTCAAGCTCTTGTTCCAACTGAATCAGTTTCAAACGGCTTGTTTCTAACTGCTGAACATAGGCCTACAAAAGTGGGAATCAGATCAGAGTGATAGGTTAAGTTCTCATAATTTATTATAAAATAAAAATAAAATAAAACAAAATTGCATCACCTACAAAATGAGTATAATCAATTATACACCCTCCTTACCTTTTTCCGCAAACGGCTTTTGCGAGCAGCCTCGCGATTTTGTGCAAGACGTCTTAGTACCTATATATCAGCATGTAAAATAAGGTTCCACCCACCATAATTGAAGGAATTTTCATACTTTGAATCACATAATTTCATTGTTGAAAAATATTAATGAATTTGTCTGAATAAATGGTGAAAAATAATATTTACTGAAATTTCAGGAAGGTGAATGAACACTAGCAAATTCTCATACATCACAGATTCCTAAAAGTTTAACAAACCTACTGTCCTGCTAGATCCTGTGTATCTGTGAATATGTGAAAGCAAATTGTCATTTAATATATTCTTTTTAAGGATTTAAGCACAATATGACAAACACAAACAATGAAATTTGAAGTTCCAAAACTATCCTGCTGACAAACACATAAAGTAAGAAAGTGATAGAGAGAAATTTCTAACCTGCTCCTAATTTAGGAGAAAAACTTCCTCCTTGCATCCAATGACATGTTTTCATGTTTCTTATGATACCATCACTGCAGCATCGTACCATGGGCAGGATTATCTTGGGAGCTTCAAATAAAAGTTTTATAGTGGATTTTTTTATAACTAGAAGAAACCTACTTCTTCACTACAGAATTACTTATCTATTTTATTTCCAAGTCCTGACCTCACCTTCCCGGCTTTCCCCACACCCTCTTCTCCCCGCCAAACAGAGATGTGTTACTCTAACTACTTTAATATGCACTAAAAGACAGATGAAGGAATCTTTTTTTACTTTTTCTTTTTTCATTCATTTATTTTATTTATTGTTCTTACTCCATTTTGATGTCTTTTCTGGTGTCCTGTACTTTTGATTTTCCTAACTTAGTTTCTTGTAGTGCATGCTATATTAACCTCCTCTTAATCATACTCCCTTTGCATCCTTTTGATACAAGAATGAAAGTATAGCTCACAAGTATCAATCTTGGGGAGTACAAAAAAGAACAATTTATCAACAGACACTAAACTGTCAATTTTAAAAGTCAGAGAATAAAGACATGAGACCGAAGCAAACAATAGAAATCAATAAAAACACCAAATTATCAAGCCCCCAAAACGCTCCAATTTGACCCCAAAAAATAAAATAAAATAAATAAATAATGAGTAAAAAAACATCATGACATTGATAAGAAAAGTCTGAATGGAAGAAAAATAAATAAATAAACATGAAATTCTCTACATATATGGACTGCAGTTCACTGCCAAATACTATTTCTGATATCAACTAGCACCAAAAAATCTATCAAGCAGAAATGTAGCATCACGCATCAATGGAAAGTAGTAAATAGGGAAAATAATTAAAAAAACACCGATATGCAGAATTTTATTTTAAGAAAAGTAAACTAGAACTCACAATGTGTGATAAAATAATTGTTTTGGGGGGATGGGGGTGGGTGAGAAGCACTGTACCTACTCAATATTTCTAAAGTAACTCATTTGGTAGAAATAATATAAAATAAAAGAAATAGAAAAAAGAAGGGAACGAGATTACTCACTATTTGGTTTACCTTATCAAAAGGTTTAGCAGCTTCTTGGTCATACAGGCGAGGAGATCCTAACATTCCAAGTGAAGCATTCCCTGACTACAGAGATTGAATTACAAAATTAAGTTTTAGCTTAGCAATTACAAGAGTATGGAACAAGTACCGAAAGCCAAGTAAATAGAAATACAAAAAATTGCACCTGGCTGTCTAGCCTGTCTTGCTTTGTGTCCATTGTGACAATTGCAGATGTAGATGTATTTTGATAGATATTACCCCTGAAATTTTCTTCCCACATGCTACTTTGGTAGATTGGCTCAAAGATACTTATTCCTCTTGAAGTCACAAACTGGGCCAATGGAGAGTTCATGCTCTTCGGACTTATAATGGATGAAACACACTGAGCTGTCAATATTATGACATAATTACATTTATAAAAAGTAAAGAGAAAAATCAAAGAGAAAATCAATGCAAGAGAATAATATGAACTTGCAAGTTGAGATAATTACTTTAAGAGGAATGAGTGGAAAGAAATTGAGAAGCATGGAAGCAGAAACAGAATGGGGTATGAAATATTGAATAGGGAAAGCTGCATTGAAAAACAATGGTTTTCCCAGAAAACTAAACGAACTGTTCCATTTTATTTTTGGCAATACTTCCTAGAGTTGTACAGAAGTAAACATATGATTTTACTTGACGCAGATCATAGTTCTTAAAAGTAAACAGCAGGACATTCTCTTGTTTACTTAGGAAATGAGCTACAACAGACGAGTAACATTGAAGAATCAGGCCACCAAAAAGCTGCTAAAAGATTTTATGTGGATTGAAAAGAGAACCAAATACGTGTTATGTCTTAGCAACACCAATCCAACAAAAATTTATGATGTTTTATGTTCACCAAAACACCAAATCAAACTAAAAAATAAATGGGTATCAGGCCCTTAGTTCCCAAAGGGAGGTCAGGAGTTCAAGCCTCAGTGGAGGCATGTGTGTGTGAGTACCAAGAAAAGAAAAAAAAGAGAGAGAGAGAGAGAGAGAGAAGAAAATGCATACTCACATAGATCATGGATTCAACAAATTGAAGCATGTCCTTAATCACAAACTCTCTTTTTTTCTTTTTTCGTTTTTTCTTTTTTGATAGGTAATCAAAAATTCAATTCTAACAAGCAGTATATTTGAAACGTTTTCATACTTATATTGTGAATCTTTTAGATAAACCTATGGCTCCAAAGTTATAATTAAACACAGTAATCACCAAGACACTAGTGCTTAGGAACAAGAGTCAACACTGTAGTAACATGGCTTGGAAGAGGATAAAAGGGCGCAATATGGAACTAATGAAACTACAAAAAGAGCAATTATCAGACTAAAAGAAAAGAACACAGAGAAAGTAATGCTCCCAGAAGTTACAGCCACGAAACGCTCTTCACTATTCCAAAAGCATCCATGAAACAGGTTATGGCTCAGCTTCAGAGCACAAAAATCAGTTTCAAAATTTAAGAGCCAGATGAACAACAAGAATGAACTGTTCAGACACCATTTTACCCCTTTCTAAACCAAAGCCCACTAATCTCGGCTGGTAGAGTTCATAGCTTTAGCCATGTGGTTGTGGGTTTGATTACCACAGGCAATGGACTTTCTTATTAGCTCACCAGCAAAGTAAGTGAATTTGCTCAATCTCTTATTCCTTCTGTTACGGAGTATTTTTCTTCATTGACTAATGGCTCGATTCATATAATATAGAAACTCGCATTCAACATCTTTAAACAAGGGAAGGCCAAAATTTAACATTGGTAGAGTTTGTAAGAAAAAATAGGGTTTGACTAACACTATGTCCTTAAAGCAGAATGAAAAATAAGATTCCTGTAGCCAACCCCAAGTAGTTTGGAAAAAGGCTTTGTCGAATTGAGTTGAGAATAAGTACTTTTTAACACATTTCCTCCAAATAAAGAACATAGGCTCAGTTTGTTTCAATGTAATTTTTACATCAAAATATATTTTACATGAAAAAATAATAATTTTCCTTCTTACTTTCCGGTGTTTGGTTGCAGTTTTGAAAATTAAGTTACCAATTTTTTAAAGAACTGAACAATAAACACTTATATAAGCATCTTGTTGTTTATCTATTGAATTATTATATCTATTATTGTTTCAGTTTTTGCAAAAATAAACAACTAAATTCAGTCTGATGTAATCATCTTGTTGGTCATTCATTTTCTTCACTTTCCCCTTTGTTTCTTTTAGTTTTCTCAGCAACCAAACGAACTTAAATGAAAAGAGATAAAAGGAACATAGTGAATCTTTATAGTCAGTTTGTTTGAGGACCTTTCCGGCTCAATTTCCAGCTCTCCCATCACAAAATAGCAACCTAGGCTCTGCAAAACCCTAGATTGTATCCGTTGATAGTATGAAAGAACAAAGCAGCACAGTTATAGGTTCGATTCCCAACCACTTTGCTGTTTCTTATTAACTCACTAACAAAATAAGTGAATTTGCTCAATCTCTTCTTCGATTTATTTATTACTTTCTTCATTAAACCCATGGCTCAACTCATATAACATACAAACTCATATATTCAACAGGTTTAAATAAGTCATAAATACATGCAAACAAGTTTTATCTAACAAACCAAGCTTGAAATTAGAACAGAAAAACATCTGTTTGGTTGCTTAGAAAGCATAGGAAGAAGAAGTATCTAAATTCTTATACGTACTCTTGTTTCGATTCCTATAAAGTTGTTGAGAAAATAAACAAGAAAATCACCTAAATTCAGACTGCTACAAAAACAATAAACGGAAAAAGAAGGGGGAAAATATGTCTAACCTTCAGAATCACTCTGAGGAACTCTCCCACCCAATTTCCAGCTCTCCAAACACGAAATCAAAGCCCTCCTACAATCCTTCGATAGCAGAGAAGAATCTCATGAGAACACAACATCAGTACTATACAAATTTAAGCTTGAAATTAGAACAACAAAACATCTGTTTGGTTGCTTAGAAAGCAGAGGAAAAGAAGTATCTAAATTCTTATACTTACTCTTGTTTCAATTCCTATAAAATTCTCAAGAAAATTACCATGATTAAAAAAAACATAAATAAATAAAATTGAACCTTCAAAATCACTCTGAGGTACTTTCCGGCTCAATTTTCATCTCTCCAAACACGAAATTAAAGCCCTCCTACAATCCTTCGATAGCAGAGAAGAATCTAATGAGAAGTGAGAACACAACATTACTAATATACAAATGAAATATATATATAAATATAACATATATCCAAACACGCATATAGATATGACACGCAATTATATATATATAACATACCATTATTTATTATTAATTGCGTTGTGTAGTGTGTAATGTGTAATCCGCCTGCTACAGTCAAGACTTGAAGCGTCGTCACATTTCCACTACCAAACTACACTTTGATAGAATGGATATGCGCACCAGGTCAGTTCCTCCTAACCTGCGCACCCCTCCCTCGTTAATCGTCACCCGCTCGGTGCAGCGTTTTAGTGTGACGTCATTTTCCGGCAGGGTTTCTGGACTGAGACGAAGGGGTCGCCGGGATGTTGCGGCGGATTAGGTGGGAAGAGGTGGGAGGCGGGGAGAGCTTGGGCTTTTGGTGGGGATGTGAAGTCCACGCGCGGTAGAGGCAAGTGTCTGGAGGAATTTTTGGAATTTAAATCGTATAATGTCAATCGCGGGAACGCAAGTGCTGGAGAGAATCGGTTGGTTGAAAGGCGTCAAGAATCAACATGCTCTTGTGTAGGTCAATTTGATTTTTTTTTTCTCAATCTTGTGGCATGGTTAAGTAAATAAGTCAACTTAAACTCATTTTTTTCAATCTCGTTTAATTAACAAGGTATGCTTCGTTAGTTTTCTTCGTTAACTTGATTCATTAGTAGTAGGTTTTTTCTTTTTCTTTTTTTTTTTCTTTTTGTTTTTTTTGTCATTAGTAAGCGGCCTTTTAATTTGTAAGGCAAACTTATATGGTAAGTCTATTTTTGTAATTTAGAATTTTTTTTTATAAATTTTGAAAAATTTAAAGTATAAAATGCAAAAAAAATAATAATAATTCAATAGGGCAAATTGTAATTTTAGTGGTGACATTTTCATAAATTTTCAAAATTTTAAAGTATAAATTTAAAATAAAATAAAAAATTAGCGGGGACGAATTGTAATTTTAGTGGGGGCATCTTCATAAAATTTTTTGAAAAAATAAGGTCTAAAAAAAATATATAAAAAATCCAGTTGAGGCATATGCTAGGTTCGTGCTTGATACTCCTACTTTGCTCTTTTGGAGATTCAAACCCTCACCACCCATTTCGAGAAGTAGAGAAGATACCATTGGGTCACAAGACCCTTCATTAGCTAGTTAGGCTGGGTGGAGTCAAGATTTCCAGGTAAAGTGTAATTGATAAAATAAAGGAAAATTTTAATAAATGACTAGTTTTGAGGTTATAATTACGAATACGAAAAAGAATTACGTGTAAGAGTTACTAAATTAATTACGTATTTATCATATTTGTAATTATAGCCTCAAAACTAGCCATTTATTAATTTTTCCCAAAAATAAAATCAATCAAAGACTAATATAAGAAAAATAAAATACTTAGATAAATATAAAAACCAAAATATTTTGAAAACATTGCGAAATTGACTTAATAAAATTGCAATTATATGTTTAAAGAATAATGCTCACATACTCAATGGTGAGTAAGAACTTTTTACTTACCATCCTAATAGACAAGTGTCCTTATCATTAAAAATAAAATAAAAATAAAGATTTAAGAGACTATTCGGGATGAAAACAATACGATTCAAATCAAATCTTAATATGATTCTTTCTCCTCCTCTACGCTGAATTGTTATCATGTATATATATATATATATATATATATATATATATATATAAGTTTTTATCTTAAAACTGATTCTAATTTTTACCTATTAAATTAGAATATGTATTGAAATTAAGATAATGGTGAATGGACAAGACTTGCATATTCACCAGTGAATAGGTCATTCTTACTAACCGATAATGTGTCCAATCACAAATGCACAAATAATTTGTAATTACAAAATCAAGTGACAAAAAAAAAATGGCAAAGTCACCCTCTTTGATTACCATATTTAACACTTTCCCGATTTTGTAATTAGGAATTATTTATACATTTATGATTAGACTTCATCAGCTACTAGTAAGAATGGCCTATTCATCGGTGAGTAGGCAAGTCTTGTCTATCGTGGATAGCGGTCAAGATATGGTGGAATCATCCAACTATTGCTACTAGTAAGAATGACCTATTCATCGGTGAGTAGGCAAGTCTTGTCTATCGTGGATAGCGGTCAAGATATGGTGGAATCATCCAACTCGCAATAGTGTAAAGCAAAGTCACATGTACCCTAATGAACAAAGAAGCCAATATGTGTAAAGGCCAATATCTGGCAAGGATGGAGTAGCGTGAGTGCAGGGCCGGCCCTGGGATTGACAAAATCTTTAGAGGCTCTAGGCGAACTTAAATGTTAAACCCTTTAATTACTAAAATACACATAAAGTAGTAAAGGGCCATATTCAATTTTGAATTTAATCACCAACTTTTTAAGAGCCCTAATTTTGAATGGGTTATGAATTCCTTTAATCAAAGAGTCTTAAGTTCTTTTTTTATTTATTTATTCATTTTTTTTTTTTTTTTTGGGCCTATCACTCATGGAAAGGGACTTAAGTTTTTTTCTTTTTATTTAGGCCTATCACTCATGGTAAGGAGCCTAAGTTTTTTTTTTTTTTTTTTAACCTATCACTATTGGGCTTGAAATTTTTGAAGCCCTCTAAATGTTGAGGCCTAAGGCGACCGCCTTGGTCACCTTGACCAGGGCAGGGCCTGCGTGAGTGTGTGGGAGAGACAGAGAGAGAGAATCAGATTAGGGCTTCAACAATAGAGTAACGTGAGAAAGGGAGAAAAAGGAAGAGAGAAAGAATCGGATTGGGATTTTTTCAAGAGGTAATCATATTTGGATTTGTTTTGGAAGTTATTAGGTTTAACTGAATAACATATTATATCTTTTATTTTTATTATTTCATGGATAGCGTATAGTTGGATTTTGTCTTGGATGTTATTTGGTTTAACTGAATATCCTATTATATCTTTTATTTTTATTATTTTATGAATAATATTTACCTACTCATTCGTATATAAGTGCGCTCCATTTTGACCACTGATGTAATATAATCATAAATGCACACATTGTCTAATTACAAAATCAGAAAAATAACTTCTTTATCATAAATCACATTCTACATTCACCCACCCTCTAGTTTCTTTATTTATTACTTTCCTAATTTTGTAATTAAAGACATTTATATACATTTGTAATTCGACCGGTCAAAAGGGAAAGTAAGTGATAATTATCCTCATTTTATACCATAGGCATACTTGTCATCACACATAAGTGCAAGAAGTAGAGTTTTTTTTTTTTAACAAAAAAAATAAAAATAGTAGTGAGAGTACTCTCACAAAAAGTCTAAAAAAACTCACACTTATAAGCCACATAATTCCTATTTTTAGGAATTTAGGAGAAAAAATTAATTAAGAAAGAATCATTCGCAATTAAGGAAACAAATCAAGCTTTTTTGTCTCTCTTCTCTCCACGTTCTCTCTTTCTCTCTCGTGGTTAACACCTTCAACCAATCTGTCTCTTTCTCTCTTGATTAACTGTGATACCCCTCGGATCCGAGACACGGGTTGATCAGGCCCAGGCCCAAACCCTAGGGAATATCAAATAATTAATATTTTATAATGAACACGGAATACAAAATAAATTAAGAAATGAAATTAAAGCTGGAAGGAACTAAAAATAGAATCCGCAAAATATTATAATTATTAAAATCCATCAAACCCAAACTCCAAAACTCCATCAGTTTACAACTTGGGAATCCATCTCTAGTGGACCCCTATTAAACATCCAAACGGAAGATAGAACAACAGTAATAAACGTCCAGAAATAAAACTATAGAGAGAGCCCTATATCGTCGGACGAGTGAATAGAGACCTCTGCTCAGCACGAACACGTCTAAGCCTGGAACTGTCGTGTACCTGAAAAATAGAAGTGGGTCAGGCCCACGCGCAAGTTCTATACTACTACAATCCAAACAGAGGCCCGATACGTATGTACATCCTAAACAATTCAACAATAGCTAATAGTCCGTAAATATATATATAGTCACACTAAAGGACTCTCACTGGACTACAGGCCGGTCTCAACCTGAATAGAGGTAACATGCTAAAACGCACACGAAGTGGGCATATGTACTTATACCTAAACAGGGTACACCTCCAACCATCGTAGCCAGCTACACATCCCGATGCATATACGCTCCCTAACCATCGGTCCTGAGGCTCAAGCTCATACCGAGGCACCATAACAGTACATATATAAAATCCATCCAAAATCCCTGGTATTGCCGCTCAACAAGTAGTTGCCATGACAATACAAAACCACGGGACTTAACTTTTAGTTAATCCCATCCTTATTCCAAGTATGTGGGTAATGGTATTGTTTTAAAAACCAAACCCATCCTTAGTATGCCACCGTCCCATACTGGTGCCTACTTTCCAATCCTCCAGTAGTCAATAATACCAATAAATCAAGTATATATCAACTAAATTCCAACATCCAACATTCAATGTTAGCAGTGATAAAATAAGCATTGATAAACAGGGTCACAACAACAACATACACATGCCCAATTTAAGTTGTTCCCTTTAGTCTGATATAAAGACAGAATTAATTAAAACTTTCATTTAACACCTTACAAATGACATACAGATATGTAGGGTATGTATCACAAAATCCTAACCTCCACAGTTGATACTAACTGTGATAATGTAAGCATCAAAACAATATTCACAGTATGTATGTAGACATGCTCAAATTATAGTGTTCCACAAAACTGATCTAGTGTTAAACTCAAATCCTCCTAGTATTTAAGTTCCAACAGTTGCTATTACAGAAGTTAAGATAGCTATCATCTAGACCCATCCTTCTAATAATTTATACTAGCATTGGTAAGGAAAAACGTGAACCACAAAACCACAATGCATCCACAAACATACTTAGTCTAGGTTGAACAAGCATACAACACTACTGTAACTACCAGTTTCATAGCAAAACAGATATCATTTTAGTTTGGTTTAATCTTCATTAATCCTGGAATCATTTAAGAGTGTAAAGAGTATGAAGCCTAAGGGAAAGAGTAAGGATAGAATCTTGCCTCAGAAACTTTTGTTCAAAGTTTCAACGTCGTCTTCTTAAAAAAATCCCGGCAAGTTCCAAAACCCGGTTACTGTTCACTGGTACGAAACACTATTTCTGAACTTAAAATCTGATCTTCACTGTTCAGATTGTGCAACACTAAGTCATGAACCTATCCTTCAAATTTCAGCTCGATCGGACCACGGACGAAGCGGGATCGGATGTTTGATGAAATTTGGGCAGAATGGAAAAAAACCTGTGCGACCCAGTTACTGTTCACGAGTACGAATCATTGTTCCTGAGGTCAAACTATGATCTCCACCGTTCAGATTGTGTGTCACTGAGTTGTGAACCTATTCTCCAAATTTCAGCTCGATCAGACCACGGACGAAGCGGGTTCGGATGTTTGATGAAATCTGGGCAGAATGGAAAAATCCTGTGCCACCCAGTTACTGTTCACGAGTACGAATCACTGTTCTTGAGGTCAAACTCTGATCTCCACCGTTCAGATTGTGCATCACTGAGTCGTGAACCTCTCCTCCAAAATTCAGCTCGATCGGACCACGGACGAAGCGGAATCAGTGTTTTGATCAAACCTTGGCAGAATGTGAAAAACTGCGTTTTTCCTTCTCCACTTCCACAAAACGTGTGCTTTGTTTAAAAAAAACCCTACACAGACGTCTACCTTATACTTATAGAGTTTTCCTAAACCCTAGGTTCATTTAAGTCTAACTCACAATCCTAACCGGCCCATCCAATTAATGTAGAAACCTACGACGGCTATAATATAAAACCCTAATTTATACTGTAATTAAAACCCTAGTTAGATGTATTTACCTAATTACCCTATTCACCATTAAATACTTAACAAATAATCTAATTGAACAAAATAATAATTAGTAAACCCAATTAAATCAAATAAGACACACATAAAATAAGACACACATAGAATAAT